ATGTTGTGCTTGACTAAGTCTTTTAGCTCAATACCAAATTTCTTTAGCATAGTAATTGGCGGTATATTCACTTGCTTGCTCCACCATCGACAAGGACTCTATTCACCATCTGTCCTTGAATCTCGATGTTTAGTAATAATGGTTTCAAGTGGAACCTCATTTCCTCGAGATGGGGGATCGATGAAAGCGGCGTCCCTATGAGGAACTTCACATGAGGTTTGTGTTACCCATGTTATTTTTGGCCTTATGTTTTACGAATAGAAGTCGCCTTCCGCTCGGCATCTATTTGTTCTTGATACTCTTTGTATTCGCTCACATATTCCGCGAGTAAAATTGATATTACCCCGATTTGATGTTCGTCCCAAGTACCATCATCCTTGTCATCGAGAAATTCTCTTGTATAATGACTCTCTATAGGTGCAACATTTTCTTCAAAGTTTCTGTAATTATTCCAATAAGGGATCCTTCCTCCTCTTCTCCAAGGCCTTCCTCGGAATCTTCTTTGGAATGCTGGGAATCTAGTGATCGACCCATCATCATACGAGAGTCTTTCAAAAACATCGTTACTTTGAAGTCTACCTCTTCCTCCTCGAGAAGGATACATCTCTCTTCTAATCCACGGCCCCCGATTTTCACTAACACCAGAGTCAACGGATTTCTGCTGACTTTCTTCGATAGTTGGTCGGACTGTTTGATCTATTTTGTCATTTTTCCTTTTATTTTGGTTCTCGATCTTCTTCATATGTTCTGTTCTGAAAGCGTTGGCAGCCGATTTATCGAACACTGCACTGCATCATGGGCATAATGACACATCTTCGTCTTTTTCCTTCTTTCTATTCAAAAATTCAATGAGAGAATCTCCTGATTGAGGGTATATTTCCTTTTCGAACTCTTTCTCGAATTCACTCAGGTCAAATTCCATGTCTTCCTCAGATACATCCATCCTAACATGCTTAGGATCGATGTCTTCAGTGACATCTACCATGCCTATGAAGGCTGAATGTGTTAATCGGACATCATCAGTAATGCCTGTTTGGGATTCGAGGTATCCTACTTGAGCCTCGAAAGGACTCGTGTCAACTTTCATTGTCATTTCTTCGAACTTCAACCTTCCTTAGTCGATCGCATCTTGGATGGTGTTCACTGAAATGTATACAATTGTTAGTCCAATGTCCATAAATATTATGAAATTTGCAATATTTTCGACCATTCCTTTGTTACTGAGACGGCAGTTTATGATCATCACTCAACTTAATCTGTTTGTCTTTCAATAAAATATCAAAGATTTTGTACTGCTTTTGTTACATCAAAAGTATATATTCGATTTGCCATTTTATCTTTTACTTCATTCTTTTGTAGCAATTTACGGGTATATGGAACCCCCACTTTGAGTTACGCAAGTTTACTTTCTCATCGACAGTTTCTTCAATATCATTTTCTGTCATATTATCCGTCTCATATACATCATTTATGTATGCTATTCTTTCCTTTTTTAGAGGTTTCTCATATTTCTTATATCTTTGTTTCTCATACTCGATTTGTTCCACTCTTCTCACTTTATCGACTAATTGAGCCATGTCATTTAATGGTAAATTGACCGAGTTTTTCCTAATCGAGAATTCTAAACCTGCGAGATGTCATTCGACTAATTCATATTCGGGAATTTGAGTGAAACATCTCGATTTCATTTGTCTAAATCGATTCAAATAATCATCTATGCTTTCATGATTGTATCTTTTTATATTCATCAAGTCGATGAGACTCACTTGAGTTTCTCCTCTAAAGAATTGTTCATGAAAATTTCTTTCCAATTGCGACCAATTATATATCGAATTAGGTGGCAATGACGTGAACCAAGTAAAAGCATTCTTAGTCAAAGAACTCGGGAAATATTTCATTTTCAATTCCTCACTCATCGCTAGGTCTCCACATTCGATCTGATATCGAGCTACATGCTCGATAGTCGATTCACCAACTTCTCCAGCAAATTTGGTGAATTTGGGTACTTTATATCCCCGAGGCAATTCTGTCTCGAGAATCGCATTCGGAAAGGGAGATACAAAATATGTCTGATTAAGTGGTCTAAATTTCATCCCTTGTAAATTCACCCTTTGTCCCATCATATTATTCTGATTGTGTATATTTTGAAATCCTTCGTTCAAATTCCCATAAATATCATTCCTCACATGTTGATACTCATGTCCCATACGCTGCTGTTGATCATTGTTTCTATTTCTTCTCAATAGATATGGGGGATTAATATTAGTATTCTGGTTAGCATGATTTTCTACCCTTGTTCGTCGAGGCACATCCAATGCATCTCCGATTCGTGACATTTGGTCTGCTAATATCTCAAAGCTAGCAGTAGTGTTTTGCACTAATGGATTTAAAACTGTAGTCAATTGTTGTGATAACATGTTCACCATTTCAAAATTACTCTCATTCATTTGCTGTCTAAGTACCCCTAATGAATTACTAGATATTCCGGTACTCATGTTTTCGATAGAATCAAAATTATATCGATGATAGTCTCTATCGAATACATATCTCCCATGATCTAAGTATCCCCTCTGATCTAGATTTGGAGGTATCTGTTGTGTGCCTACATTCTGTCCATTCCCTGGATCCTGTGGAATTACTAAGTTTTGAGACGTCCCTAAATTCGGAGGGATTCCAAAATTTTGTGGCATACCTAGTGTTTGGGACATTCCTACGTTATATCTCGAATTCCTATGCGTTGAAGAAGTTCCAGCCCCACTCACATTATTAAGTGAAAACCCGGGTGGTCTTACACTCATACGTGGCCCTACATATGTGGTTGTGGGATTTCCTATAGTTTGCATATTATTTGGTATCACCGTACTAGATCCTACTTGGGTGTTTGCTAATGTACCTGAATTTTGTTCACTACTCACAGGTATCGACATGCTCATAGTTGTCGATACTACAGGTATGTTCCCATTATGACTTTGCCCCCCAGTATTTGGTGGGTGTGACCCATTTAATCCCTCACTGTTACCTTGATTCTTTGATGAACTTTGACTCATGACTCTTCCACTCCTTAATCTCATACAATTTCGAACTAACCAATTTTGTGTTTCTCAACACAAGATTACCCCCCTACCTGGCGCGCCAATTTGTTTCTGGTGGAATTTTGATCGATTTCGATTCTAAGGGTGTTTTGGTCCTAATCAAAAATCTACCACGTAAGTTCTTTTTACTTAGGCTAGCAGTCTGACTTTCAATCGAAAACGTATATGAGAATCGAAAATCATAAGATATCAAGAAAACTGTTTTTGGTGTTTTGTCTTTAAAATATCGAAAACAATAAAGTATCGAATCGAAAAAGCTGAATATTAAATTGCGAGGAAATGTAAAGTGCGAAAACCCCAAACTTGCATTAATTGTAAATGACAAGGAATCGAAAAATAGTGCAAATATAAATGGCAGGAAATCGAAATGTGCAGGAAATGTAAATGACAATAAATCGAAAATACAGAAACTTAAACTTTCATTGAATTGAAATGGACAAGGAATTGAAAATACAGAAACATAAAATTGCTGAATTTAAGTTGCATCAAAATAAATTACCAAGGAAAATACAGAAAGCGGTAAATGTACTCAGTGAGCAAGGAAATCCAGATTGCCAGAAACTTCATGGTGTTCGTCGTTTCTCCGGTAGACTTTTCACTACTGATCCTGTTCTCTGCCAATTTCTGCCCCTTCCTCCTTCCTCTTTTGTACTATTTATAGGGCATCATTCAAGTCTTCCAGAAACAGTTAACAAGACTGATACCACGTCCTACGTGTATAAGGCAGTTCCTCTTTTACGGTTTCCCACGTTCTCAAGATCTTCGCCTCTTCCATAACTTAGAAATTGCTTTCCAAACGTGCGTTTTGACTATTTCCCTTCAAGGTTTAGCCGGGGTTTCGATATCCACATAGACGAGTCTTCCCTTCGATTTCGACTTAATCGAAAACTTTGCATACCTGACATCGATTCATTTTAACCTTAACTTCATATACTTCAAAGTTGTTTCATGTTAAGCCTTCGACTATTACTCTTACCCTTCTGATTCTACCTTTCGATTTTATGTGTTACGTTCTTTATAATTGGACATCAAAAAAGTTATCATACGCTTTGTTCGTTTATCGATCATATTTCTCGATTTCACACTAACATATATATATATATATATTTGTTATTATTTGTTATTTTCACTAGGTGTTGAATATGATCCAGCTTCACCAGTAATCCGTTAAATGAAGAATAAAGGTAGCAAAAATGAAGAGGAAAAAAAAAAGCTTTTTCTCACAACACTAACAAAAAAAAAAAAAAAAGGTGACAATGGAAAAGATGACTCGCATTAAGAGGAACAAAATCACACATTGAGATAAGCTTGAGATAGGAAAGCAAAATATAGAGTAGGGATTCTCTTCATATATAAATTCGGGTGTCATATATACAACTTCCAGATTATAAAAAGTTGCATAACAAAATTAGAGAAAATATGATAGTAGCTAAATTAAATATGTTATTTAACAAATTTAATGTATCCAAGTGTTATGTAATTTATATATAATTATTTTTAATTATAATTACGTTACAAGTAAATTTTATATTTTGAAGTTAAAATATAAAATATTAAGGGCCTACGAAAAATAAAAAGTTAGGGAGAAGAAACTTTGCAATGGAGTGAGTAATTTAAAGTTATATTATAGTTGCTTAACGGCAACGTGGGTCCAACGCAAATCACCAAATTTGAAATTAGGAAAATTAACTTTGGGACGAATTTATCCAATGTCAAGGATTTGCAGCAGATGAAATCCAGAAAGTAAAATGTAGAAATGATGAAGTCATGATTACGTTTGCTATACGCAGAAAACTTAAAAAGTAGTTATCATTTTTGTAGGCTATGTCAGAAAAAGAGAACTCTATAATCATTACTGGAATCAAGAAAAATAACGGCGAAAAAAAGTCGCCGGTTGAAATGGTGCACTTAACTCCAACGCCGGAGAGGGGACGAAGTTACCGACGAGGAGGACGATACGGCACTGGATGACTTCCCAAAAAGGAAGAGGTTAGCGAGGTAATTTTCAATGTCTTGAGGGGTAAACGTGACATACACCGTCACCGTCAACTCCCTCACTGATCCAACCGTTGCAAGAAGATCATTATACCACTCGCGATATCTCGGAACTATACTTCTCGCGATCGAACCTTTTATTTCGTCTCGCAGTTCTCTGTCAGCTACGACGTACGAGTTCTGCTTCCGATACGCCTCCTCGAATTTGAGGTTGAAGTTCTCAAACACCACCCTCGCCTCCGTCGCGGCTGGGTTTGCCGGCAGCGATGAAACAACTTCTCCCCACGCCACCTTCTCGTAGTTCGCGACGAACCTCTTCGCCTTAGCTTCGTGCTTTGTGATCCAATCGTCGCCAAGCACGTACTGCAGGTTCGAGCTTCGGACTCTGGCCACCACGTACCATAGATTATTTGCGAGAAACAAGTACGACAGTGAAACGTCCTTGCAATGCTTCGCTTTGCCGTCAAGCTTGCAAAGGAGGACGAGAATCAGCCACGCCATGCGCGCCGTCAGCGCCGGCGTCGACGCTGAGTAATCAGAATCCGGACTGTATAAATAAGACTCCGGCAGCGACGATGACTTCGGTGGCGGAATCCAGTCGCGCGGGAATATGTCAGAGAGAACGTTGACGTAATCTGCCAGTATTGAGAGGTAATTCATACTCTGAATCGTGAGCGAGTGCACGCCACCACCGTTCACAGCAGACTTGGAAGAGTCTTTCTGAATCGTGGCCTCAAATTCTGCGAGCAAGAATTGCGCGGACTCGGTGAGTCGTTGAAGTGAAGCCAGGGCCTGAGAACGCACGCCGGAGCTATAATCTGAGGAGAAGATGGACTCGATTTCCGGCCACAGTTCTGAAGAAACAGCGTGCATGTCGAGCACACGGAACAGCTTCTCCGGCGACGATTTCTTTGTATTGGCGACGAGTTCGGGGAATCCGAAAAGGAGAGAGGCGCCGTCTCTGGAAATCTCGGCGAAGCAAGATTCTCTTACGGAATCTGAGTAACTGAAGACGTGGTCGCAGAGGATTCTCTCTCCGTTGAAGAGCGTTCTAACGGAAATCCTTACTGCCTCTAACCAACTCTTTATTTTCAAATCAAGCACTTCCCAGTCCATCTTGTTAGCGCGCGAGGAGCTCAGTTTCTCAACGCCGAGGCGATAGAGTCCTTCGTCAATTATGGATTTTCTGATGATGATGTAAACGCTGACGCACTCTTTCGCGTAACCAGAGGAGACCATGCAGTCGGCGATTAATTTCAGATCCGCCATGGCGGCCGACGAAACCTGCTCGACTTCAGATATAGAGTCGCCGGCAACGCGGATATCGTCGTCTTCGGCGGCGAAGTCGTCGTCGTAATCGGAGGAGCTGGAATTGGCGGATGTACGAGAGGATCTGGCGGAGACTGATTCGGGGTCAAGGTGAGCGCGGTTCATGGACAAGATCTGGTAGAACTCTTTCTTGAGTCTCTTCATGGCGATCTGCATTAATTTGTGAGCGAGGATGAGTTTGGGGGAGGAAGGGTTGTGAGAGAGCAAGGAATGCATGGTTTGGTGAAGCTGGTTAACGCAGTTAATGTAGTGTTTGGCTTCGATTTTATCTTGGTAAAATAGGGAAGTGACTTTGGCGTAGGCGGAGGAGTCAGGGTTCCATTTCAGTATGAGTGCCTCTGCTTCCTCGATGAAGCTATCTTCGTCGATGCTGGTAGGTTCCGAAAAGCTCAACCTGGGAGGTGTTGGGCATGAGGTTGAAGATACTGGCGAAGAAGGAGAATTGCGGGCCAAGGCAAACGACGGCGTCTTGGGGTTAAAACACAGCTTTCTCATGTTCGGAACTCAAAACGACTAATGTTTTCGTTATTCTGGAACAATGGAAGCTGCAAGTGTATATTGTTTGGGTGAGTTGAGAGAAGAATAGGTAGATGGAAGTGTGAGGCGGATATATATAGAAAGAGAGAGGGAGCAGGGGAGGGACAGTGGCAGTAGCTTGTTGGAGAAAGTTGTGAAGGAGGTTCAGGGTAACCTGTATGGATCTTTCACGAGCCCACGTACGTTGACTTTCATATCCTTCTGTTGATTAGGTCAGGAACAGATACAAACAGGAACTGATCTCTTCCTCCTTCAACCCTTTGTTATGGACTCAGTTACCCACTCCGCGTGGGCCTTTCCTTCATCACATTTCCTTCCAAGATTAAGACACCGCATTCATGTCAGTTTCGGAAACCCAATTTCACGGAAAGAGAACTAACTCCTCACCACCTCCACATAAGCCTGCCACGCAAGAAATATTCAAATTAGCCACACATTATTTGTCATCAATTAACGGGGATTCAAGTGAAAATACGTGGGGGAAAGTTCTGAGAGTTTAATTTAATAAATATAATGCATGTATTTTATCTTCTCTCCTTTTTTTTTCCACCAAAGTAGAAGTGTTTTAGATATATATATTTAAATTAGCGTGACTTAATTAAAAATTATTGATTAGTAAACACGGTTGTGTCAAGAAACTTTCATTGTCATCAAAGTAAACACGGTTGTGTCAGATGGCATTTTCATCTTATTGTCACCTCGCAACGTCATATTAATATCGTCTTTGTTTTCATTGATTTTAGATACAAATAAGGAAGTGAAAGATGAAAGCTATAGACGGAAGCTTAGTACTTTTGTTTCGAGTACAAAAAAAATATAAGGAGGAAAAAAATACGGAAAATTTTAAAGAGTATAATAAATGAATTTTTCGAAATAGTTATAATATGTCGTTTGTATTAAAAAATTTAAAATAAGTTAATTTTTTTTAAATTTATCATAAAAATATTTTCTTTAAATTAAATAATTTCAATTTTATCTAAAAATAAAAATATTTAATATTTTTTATATTATATATTCTCTCTATTTTTTTGTTCGGTCGGAATATAGTTGGTTTATATAGTTTATATCTGATCCAGTAAGTTGGATATCAATTTTTTTATTAATGTCGATAAAAAAATTAAAAATATTGTGACTATTTTTTATATAATTAATAATGAGAGTTTTTTTTTATAAAATATCATTTCTCAGTTAATATTAATTGTCTTTTATTTAAACTTGATTTTAGACCAGTATTAATAATTATTATTATTCTAAAAATTTTAAGTGTAACACTGTAACTTCATTAGCGCCGGTGATAATTCTTTTAAACCAGAAAGTTCTAAATACAATTAGCATAAAAATGTTTGTGGTATTTCTTTTAAAATTGTGGAATTATGTGAATAATGTAAAGTAATTCCAACCCAATGAAGCAAATAAGGTCGGTCTTGCATATGTTTTGACTCTGTATGGGGTGCTGGTGAGTCTTCTTGTCTCATCAATGTGTACATTATGGCATTTACAGTACATTTTATAAGGCTTAGCAGCAATTTATTTCATAGTTCTTATGTTTGTTATTTTCCCACTGTGGGAAAAAAAAAGCACAAAACATATGTTAATGTACACATTGATGAGATTAGTTTACATAATTATTAAAAAATATTAGTTACATAATTATTAAAAAATATTCGTTAAAAAATATTACATTGATGAGAGGTGGTTAGTTACATTATATACATAAATATTAAAAATATTAGTGTACATAATTATTACATTTTCACTTTATATGACGTCTTATACAGTAGGATATTTCATTGATACCTTTTAAGAGTAATTCTATTCAGTATGAACCTAATCCTATTCACAATATAAATATAAACATTTCAAATTAACATACTATATATATATATATATATATATATATATATATATATATATATATATATATATATATATATATATATTCTCATCGTTTTACAAAAAATGGATTAAAATAAAAAATTGAATATATTTAATTTAATAGCTTAACATAATTTTGAAAGATAGGTATCTCGTGTATGAAATTTGAACTAATATTTAGACATTTATATCTGAAATATATTATTGGGAAGAATTATGTTTTATTCTTCTAAACATATTACTAAAAATATATGTTTTTTGTATCATTATTTTTCGTGAAATTAATAAATATATGACATAATAATAAAATTATAATATTTTTTAAATAAAATAATTTTTATATCGAATCGTATATTATTTAACGTAAATATCAATTTTTATGTTAGGTTTTAATAATCTGATATAAAATTTGTTTTTTTTTTAAGAATTTATATTTCTTGTACGCGCGCAAGAGTTTTTTTATCCACAATGAAGACAATAACAAGAACTTATTAGACGTATGAAATAAAGTAATATTTTTCATCAGTTTATTCATATATTAGATTTCATCCTCATTCGGTAGCTTAAATCTACATAAACAATTACACTAATTGGATGTAATTGGAGAGTTCTTTATATTGTTTCTCTTTTTCTTTTTCTTTTTCTTTTTTATTTATTTATTTACTCTTACATATTTTCACTCCTACGACAACTAACATTCAATACTATTTTAATTTTCTACTTCTTTTATACTTTAGAACAGAAATCAAAGACTCAAGACAAAATATAAACAATTAAAGGAATAAAAAAGATACTAAGAGAAGAAGAATAAAAAAATACCTAAAAAACCAACGGGAAAAGAAGACAAGAAAGTTTTAGATGAAGAAAAACCCTGAAAAAAATGTTTGTGTCTTTTTTATATTAACTATTGATTTTTTTTCTCTAATTTCTCAATGAACAATCTTTGTTTTTTCTTTTTGTGCAATCTTTGATTGTGATAGTTTTAAAAATTTATCGTAAAACTTTTTATTAGAAATTAAGAGATACAAAAATTTATTTTGATCATTACAATATCCAATATACAAAAATTTACATTCATTTATTTGTTACTCCAAATAAACTTTAATCCCACGGTAGAATTGAATCAAATCTAAAAAAATTTGAAAAATGACAAAAGTAAAAATATTTCTTATATAAGGACCAAACTCAACTTCCATATAATCTTAATGTGTGTAAACTTTGATAATTATATTTTGTCTGGTTCAGGTACGTGTTATTTGACCGTCACTGTTTACATATCAACTTCATTGTTAGTTGGCTGGTGGGTATATAAAGTTCTGCACAGAGTACACAATTTATAAGTATATACTATCTCTTAAATCATTTTTACCAATATTTTTATTTCATATACTTTTCTTTGCTAATAATATTAGTTTATTACTTATTAATTAAAAAATATTATTAACATGTAAAATTATTCTTTTGACATTCCAGCCTGGCGAAAATAAATAATATGTTCATCGTGATAAATTATGAATGTCGAATGATAATTGAAATGGTTACAATTATATATATATAAAATGATTAGAGGAAAATTAATTGATGATAATTGTTGTGAGATTAGTGTGAATGTAAGGTTATTATGGTTGCCTTGTTGGGGTGAAGAAGCCAAGAAGTTGCGATGGGGATTAAGTGGCATGTCCTTTCAGAAATGACTTTTTAGCAATTTTACGCAAAACATTCACATGCTTCTTGTTAACTGACGTAAACTTTCCACCATCATAAATTAAAACTTATAAAAATCCAAATTTAACATTTATTTTATCATCACTCCTTTTAATGATTGACATTTATGGCTACCCTTCATTTCCATCTCGATTATTGAATGTTTCTAGCAAATTGTCCGCGTATTGTAAGGTTACTTTTTTTTTTTTTTTATAAATTAAATAGATTGAAAAAAAATATTTAATATTTTTATTATTATTAACAAGTGGAAGCACCATGTATTTAATATTTGTCTAATTTTTTTATAATATTATTTTAATTTTTATTTTGTTTTATCTTTTCACTTTTTAAATACATTCTTTTATTTTTTTATATATATAAATCATAATAATTATTTTTAAAATTTTAATACTTTTTTCTCTCTTTCATGACATAAAAAATAATTAAAAAAATCTCTTTTATATAAAAATAAATAACCTAATATCATGACCAATAACAATAAATGAAAGATATTAGACTATTATAAGGGATAAATTATTATTTTTTATTAAATCAACTTTGTTCATATATGATGACATATTGAAATTTTTAATTAAATTCAACTTAAGGTTAATTAAAACCATACTAATCCTAAAATTAAAGTGTTGGTTTATCATTTTGTTGTTAAAATGAGTTTTATTTTTATTTTTTTCATTTACAAGAGACCGAAAATGGGATTTGAATCAACCTTAATTTAATAAGGTATATTAAAATTTAAATTCTGAATCATTTTAAAATTGAATTAAATTTATGAAATTTGCAAGGAATAAAAATTATAAATTAAAAAAATTAGAATACGAAGACACATAACTTAATAAAATGAGAATAATTTTAAAAAATATAATGAATTACAAATTTATAATAATAAATAATTCAAAGTTTTTCATAATTTAATGATCATTTACTCATTTATAAATAGAAGGTCATCTAAGAAATTACTCACTGTACAATCTGTTCAGTCACAGAAATTTGTATAATATTTATTAAAGACTTGTGTACGAAAAAAGATTGGAAAATTTTCTTTATTGTGATTAAGAATAAAACATGCATGCCTAAAATTTTCTAATCGTAATTTGTCTTTCCATCCAGGTCCCACAAAGGGAGATTTTGTAGGTCAAAGTAATATTTGAAGCACGTAATTGACTTGTCCTTCTTTAATTTTTGGATATGAAAAGTAAACGCATTATTAATGACATGAAAAAAGTAAATAAAAAAAAAACAAAGTCTCAGTTTTTTTGTTATGAACCACTATTATAGTCTTCATAGAGTTAATTCTGTTTATTTTGTTGTAAGAAAAGATTATAACATTAATGATAAAGTTCATCACGATTATTCAACGTAGTTATATGTTTTAGGTCGTAAAATTACTTAAAAGTCTAAACATGCTTTCATTTGTAGTACTTTGTTTCGTAAATGATATTTTGTTATAGAATATGAGGAAAAATAATATTTACAGTTCAATTATATTTATTTTATAAAAATACAACTTTGTATAAGCGTCTGAAAAAAAGTTATGTAAATAGCCTTTTATATGTACACATTATTTTTTTTATCTTATTTCAACAAATATTCCAAAATAATCTAAGAAGATAACTCACAACTAATATAAAAACTGAACTATAATTTTTATTATTAAAATGACTTATATACATTATACTTACACAAATTAGTACTAATTTTCAAATTGCAACTAATTAGGTGTATGTATAAGTAGGTTAGTTCGTAAATAACATAAGAGTTGAGTATAAATTTTAATAATGAGTGTTTCTTACCGATTAATTAATAGAGAAAAAAGAAAACATAAAACAAGTGTGGTGATTGAAATTTAGTGAGGAGATATTCCTTTGGGGATATATTAAAAGTGATAGAATAGAAAAAAAAAACAGATAATTGAAACAGAGACTTAGAAAAATCCTAGAAAGACTTAAACCTCAATCAATTTTACCAAACCAATATTCTTATTCATTGTTTGTGAAGGTTGAAGTGGAGAAACGATTGTTAGAGTATTCACACATCACCTAAGTCTTAACCTGAAGAGCATATTTGGATATATTTGCGGTCAAACAATGCAGATGAAAGGTCGTGCCATTTTCTAGAGATGACCGACCAAAGCACGTCATATAATATAAATTGTCTACACCTTTGAAAATAAACAACCTGTGTGATATGTATTTCGGTTTAATATTTATAGTTTTCTCTCGTTTAAATTATTGGAACATAAAACCGTTAAAACAAACACTATTTTAATTATAAAATTTAATTTGTTAATCTTATCATAATATATATGAAAATACTCTTATTTTTAGATAGAGCAAAAGTTTAAACACCAAACTTAATTATGATAAATAAACAAAAGGTTATACATAATTTTCTATACAATATCTGATTTTCTATATAATATTTTAAAAATATTTATTGAGTTATTTTTATTATTTTTTAAATCACGTTAAAGGCATGTACTTGTACATCGCAGTGAATGTGTATATGTAAATAGATTAAAAATTAGGTAAAAAATATAAATATAATTAATAGAAGTGTGACTAATGTTATTTTAAATTCTAAATTTGATAAATAAATAAAATCGTAATGTTTAAAATCCAACCATTTTACAATGGAAATCAAAGTTATATGAATAATAAATGAACGTGTATAAATTTATTATAAAAGAAAAATCCAAAGAATGAAACAAGATAAAAATCAGCTTGATTTGTAAGAATTGATTGATGTCATTTTTATTTTTCTAATTTTTTTTTACGAAATCACTCGTTAAAAATTTAGTGGACAAGAAGGCATGTTAAAAAGTTGAATGATAAATTACGAGCAAAATTCGATTGTAAAATTTATGAAATTATAATAATTAAATTGGAAATGTAAGTAAATCTTAATATTTAATTTTATTTTTTACAAAAGTATATATTTATTTTTGTCCTGTAATATACTTAATATAGTTTGATTTCAAAAAAACATCTGAATATTATCATTGGATTATATAAATATTTATAGAAAAGATAAAATAATTAATATATAGAAAACCCTATTAATACAATATATTTTTATTGATTTGAGTGTCTTACTATATAGATACCGGGAATATAGAACTATAGGTTGAATATTATAGGACGATAACTGAATTTTATAACGGAGAGATGAATCTATTCGGGTTTGGTAGCATGAAAAAAATTTCAACTTTACATGAAGTGCCTAAACTGATAGAGGGAACAAAACGTGAAAAGGGAAGTGAATAAGAAAGGTGTGGTAGGAGAATAAGTCAGCAAACAAAAATAAGAAAATTACTATTTTTGTCAGATTATTTCATGTGCCAAATACGCTGTTGTGCACGCACCTGTCTAACGATGATCACGTGGAGAAATATGCTTCACAATTATAAAATTGCATAGAAATTATTTCCAACATTGATATTTTCAACTCTTGCTATGTAATTTAAACGTAAATTATTTTAAGTACTTAAACAATAATAATTTGAATCAAAAACATTTACAATTTCGGATGTGCACTACGTTGTTGTGTTGCGTGGGATGATGAATAACTACAAGTTATTTTGAACTGTGTTTCTATAATAAATTGTGTTGACAAACAATTAGGCTACGCCCACACGTGTTGCACAAATTCATATGCCATATGTTCATATGCTCCCTATGAGGCTATGTGACTTAAATAAAAAAAATCGGAATCAACTAAAATATCGTAATTTTTCTCTTTTCATTATTAGTGTTTGAAAAATAAAATAATAGTTATCTAATAATATCTGCCAATATCTTTTCATTCTAATAAGGTACTTTTTTTTTTATTGATACAAGGTTTACCTAATTGTGATTTGACCTACTTAATCCTAACCTTAAAATTTAGATACAGGTATTAATGATGCTCCACACTATAAAGATAATAATGCAATATAAAGATATGAAGGATTTTGTGTTTAATATATGAGTAGAGTTGTAATTTTGGCATTCCTAGGTTAATTTTTTCTTTTTTATGGAAAGTTAATATTGAAGTATTTGTCCTTAGTTAAGTTGTTTTGCAATGACTAATTTCCATTAAAAAAACTATCTAATTATCTTTAATGATGTCTCTACTCCATATGCATATTTGATAAATAAATTATGAAATAGAGGTGATTTTCCTATACAATAATTATTGAAATTTGTAAATAAAATGTTATTGAATAATTTATCAATTAAAGGAAGAATACAAAAATGATTTAAGATGAGATTTAGTGGGTGATCTCCACACAGCACTATTTGCACTGTTATTGGTAATTTATGGTGCAGTGATGAATGGGCCAATGGGCCCTGATCCATTGTGGGGTTCAATTGTCACGAAGACTAGTAAGCTCGTTTTGGACCATGTACCGTAGCCCACATGTCTTTTCCAAGCTCATGCTGCAATTAACTCATGCCTTCACACAAGATATTGCTGATTGAAGTTGTATATTCTAAAATATTGTGATAAATTTTGAAGCATTCAAAATATCACACAATCAAATCAAGTTATATATGCCTATTATACATAAATCAAAGAAAAATGTAGAATCGTGATAGATGATTCAAAAGAAAGTAACGAATATTTAATTTATGGAATTATTTTTTGAGGTCCACATTAGACATTAAATATTCTTATATATCTTATAAGAAGTCACCTAACAACAAAATTTTTTCTTATTTAATGTTTTACAATATCAAACTAAATTATTTGGTCTTCTATATTTTGAATAATCTATGTTTTTATAATGAATTTTTCTCGTTTAATCAAGTATATATTTTTAAACTTGTTGGAAAACAAATGTGAAAACTTTTAGTGTTATGAACAACAAAAGACTAATATATGTAAAACGTAATTTAATTTTAAAATAAAATTTATACTAAAAATCAAATAGTTTTTTAGAACTGTAATAATATATTTTAATATTAAAAATATTTATCTATATATTCTTATATTAGAAACTACGTATTAAAGTAAAAAACAATTTTATATATATTAATCATTGTTAAATTTATAATTGAATCTTTTAATCTATTGTTTCATGAAACCATCCAAATTAGATTTTTGTTTTTTTACTTAATTCAACACATTCATTAAAGTATTGATTTTGTCAAATATACTCAAAGTAATTCTTTTTTTGTTTTTTTAATTTACCAGTATCTTTAAAATACTAATCATTAGGTTAATTTTGTCTTGTTATAGTTGCTTTAAAATTGAAGGTAATTCCACTACAAAAGCTCTGGCCAAACACTTAAGCCTTTCGGGGGATGGAATGGAATCGAAGAGAAGATGGAATAAAGGGAAAAAATAAAGAGAGAATTTTCAATGGTGGGTGTAGAACATTGGCCATCGTTCAAAAACGGGGGAAGGAGAGAAAGTAAGAAGGAAAAGATAAGGAAGAAAGCCGTAGAAGCATCTGATTCCATGGATATATGAAGGGAATTTCATTCATTTTTATTTTGAGTTGATAAAAGAGAAAAAAAAAAAAGTGACTTTGCGTCTCATCCATCCACGAGAAAGCAAAATTCGAAACGGTTTACTATCTGGCAGAATTTGTTCCATTAGAATCTCATAGTGTAGTGTTTTGATTTTCCACTTTTTATTGTGTTCAAGTTGCACAGTTCAAGTGTCCCAGCATAAAATGTTCATGCAAATTTGATGCTTCCTAGTTTCCTTCTGCTTTTTTTCCAAAGATGTTACGAAAACAAAACTGAACTTGAGAGGGCCATGAAAATGACACTGACTTTGCTTGTAGCTTACTAGCATCAAGAATCATCAACACTAAAATTGTTTAATTTGGTGTGTTTTGTGCCTCATTGATAGCAATATTTCTTCATAACATAACACAAACTGTCACCTGAATAACTTAGCACATGAAACTGCAGCATGTACTTAATGGTTTTGCTGTTTCCTCTGACCAAGTTTTCAATGTTCAAAAAAGTGTTTCTGTCAAATGCTTGTTGATAAATAGTGTAGGCCATGCCCAACAAACCAACAGGGGGCAACAGAGAATTACCCAAATTCACTGTGCTTTTGTTGTTTGTGCCTCCAATTTTTTTATGCATTCAATTGAAGCCACAACAGAAAATGGGAATTCATGTCGCTGCAACTTCACGTCATTCCAAAACATGTCTGCACCTCTATGTTTGCATATGTTGCACTCCGCACAAAATGATTACTGTAGGAAATAATTATCATATAGTATTATTATGGGAGCAATGATAATCACAAACATTTAGACACCCGTGCAAAAAGATAAAAAAAAAGTACTACTTCCTGGAATATATAAATTGAGTAAATACCATATGTACTGATAAAGAATCATAGCTATTTTAAAAATTATTTCAGTAATGATTTCTGATTAATTGATTATGCAATTCTTTTAAGTTGAGAATGCATTGAAATTAAACTTTTACACACACACACACACACACACACATATATATATATATATATATATATATATATATATATAAAAGATAAGACAAGATGACACTGTTACGAAATAGAGAAAAAGGGATCCAAAGCTACACAATGGAACTACTGTGATATATTTGTTGGTCTTGTTAGATTCTACCGTGACCCTGGTTAGTGTTAATTACATGTAAAATGAATAGGTTCATCTGAGGTGTTTTCCAGAGTGTGATATTTGTTTTCTACGTAATGAAACAAACAAGGAGTTAAGGCAATTTCAGTGTACTTATTTTGTGTCATTTTCATTCTTTAAAGCAATGGAAATGTTGGTTGCATCTCATACACATCACTCTCTGTTTTGCTCTGCACCTTTGTCTGAGAGATTCGCAAAGCCTCAATTAGGATATAACCATTCACGACATTCTTCTATTTGTAAAAACTAGTCAAATTTTGTATTGATGATTTTTTCTAATATTTATTCCAGTATTAAGATAAGAATTGTGGAATGGTTTGGATTATATAAAATATGCAGATGAGATAATTAATAGTTAGAGAATTATCAGAAAAGATACTAAGAATTTTCACATGAGGATAAGTCATGTAACCAATTTCATTAGGTCGGCTAAGGTTATTGTTGCAGTCTTGGATCCCATCACACGTGCACGTTGCTATTATCATGCTGAAACTATTGAAATTTATGTATTTATGTCCATCACCCTACATACATTGATCTTGTTTTATCAATGTTATTTATGGTTTAGGTCCCACGGTAATTGGGTAAGGTGGTACACTGTTAGCAAAACAATATCCAAACTCATGCTTGTCTTGGGAAAGTTTACAAATTTCCTTCCTGCTTTATTTACTCTTGCTTCCACATAATAAACAAGAAACTCATTCAATTTTGAATTTTCCATCTTTTCTCTTTTCTCTAATCTCTATATCTCAACCTACCGCACCTCACTCACTCACTCACTCCCAATTGAAACTTAAAAGCAGTGAATACCAACTTTTTTCTTCTGGTTCAACCTCCTTCCACATCTCTTTCTTTGTTACACAGCAGATTCATTCCATAAACCACTACCTATTCTCACCCTTCATCATCAAGAGATGAAAGGCATAGACATCTTCTGTGCATCACAGGCCTCAACAGCCATATGTCTTAGCATGGATCAGCCATCTTCCTCCTCTTCTTCAATTTCCAACACTACTCAATTTGGTGGCAGAGCCATTGACCGCCACAACCCCATCATCACAGATCCAAGAAGAACCCCCTCCAGAGACTTCATTGTCCCCAGTTCTCCTTCTAAGTCCCACATCGATCCCAAACCTTTGCATGATCTCCCAAAGGCCAAGAAAAACTCCAGTTCCAAGCCCAGTGGCCAGAAAAAGAAAAATGCAGCAAAGGGTCTTGATCAGAAGAAGAAAAGTAGTGCAGGAAAGTTAACTGAACACTTCACCAACAATTACTCTTCAAAACCAATAGATAGTATTCTGAGGAGGAGTTGGGTTAGGCCACCTACTGATTTAATCACTCCTCCTGGTTCTTCAAGATATTTGCTCGGTGACACTCCTTCCTTTGATGCTGGATCATCGGTTTATGATCCTGTTTTGGCTTTAACTAACGTTGATAAGGAGAAAGGTCAAGTTCTTCATCATGATGAAACCAGCCATTCATCTAAACCCTCTAGCTCCTCTCTTCCAAAATCGGGTTCCTCAGACCAGGTTGAATTCTTTTTCAAAACTTATATGCAATTTCTTAGATGTTGTTTGAACCATTCTTCCATCAGAATTGAAGGTTCATCGGTATAATCGTTTTATACAAATGCATATTTATGTGAATTACTGAGATGAAACTTCAATTACAGTTTAAGAATAACACAATCTACAGTTAAGTAAGCTCTGTTATTTTTTTTCTCCTTGTGACTCTTATACATACCCCTATAACACTTCTTTGGATTTTTTCTTTTGAATACGTGCATATGCTTGGTGTCAAGGAATCTCAACCACTCCTAGAAGGCTATATACAGCAGATTTATATAAGAAAGTTTTTTCATTGATGGTGTATGAGTTTGTGGAATAGTTAAGTAACACTAGCATATGCACGAACTGAAATAGACCATTGACGATGAAAAAGGGCACAACTTTTCTAATCTTTGCATACTATGTATGTACTAAAATGGGATGCGATTTGAATGGTTTTTGTTGCAGGTTGTAGTTTTGAGGGTTTCTCTGCACTGCAAAGGTTGTGAAGGGAAGGTGAGGAAACATCTCTCCAGAATGCGAGGTACGCAAATCGCTCTCACAAAATCTTCTTTTTCGAACCATAAAATTTAACACGAGGTCACATGCAGTTATTAAAAGGTTTTGTCATTATTTGCATATAGTTAAAGTTCTAGAATAAAACTTGAAAGCCTTGTGGGTATGATTGTAATGAAAAATAATGTAAAGAGGCCAAAGTGATATTTTTAATTTGATGAGGGTTGAAATTACATATATCAACATGTTTCTTCTTTAAGATTTGACAAACTTACGATGGTAACAATTTGAAACAGTTTTCCAAATAACTAAATATTCTGATGACCTGACATAAAAAACCAGTATTAATTATCATATTGGACCTCTGCATTTAGTCTAACATATTTAGCAGAAATTCATTGAAGTTCTGATTGATTATTAAAAGGACTTTGTTGCTTGAAATGAGAAGACATTTTTATGGACTCCTTTTACTTTATTTTATTTTTCCTGTATTGTGTAAATTACATGAACAGGAGTTACATCCTTCAACATAGACTTTGCGGCAAAGAAGGTTACAGTGGTTGGTGATGTGACTCCTTTGAGTGTATTGGCAAGCATATCAAAGGTGAAGAATGCACAATTCTGGCCAGAGCCTGCTTCAGTGGCTGAATCCGGTTACGCAGAAACAAAGAAAACACATTCTATCTAACTCATGTTTTTTTTTTTTTTTTTCAGTTACAACTTCTTTAAGGTTCGAGCTCGTGAATTGGTAGTAATTTAATTAGTGTAAATAAAAATGTTAGAAAGTACCCTGTCTTTGAGGAGATATTAGAGTTTATTTTGAAGGAACCTTATTTTTGTACAAGATTGGTCTAATTTTTCTGGAGAAAATTTTCTATTCGTAAACCTGAACAAGACCTGATCTTTACATAAACGAACTGATAAAAAGTCAAAAGAAAAATTATAAACAAGAGTTGTAGTTAGCTTGCTGTCATTGGCATAAATCTTGTCAATGCTAGTTGTGACATTTGTGAGATTCTAACAGAAAAAAAGGCACGATTAAAAAGGTTGCTACTTCCTAGACCAAACACTGAATTAGTTCTTTTATTTTACACCAGGTACACTGACTTTTTTCTTTCTAAAGATAAAAAAAAAATTCTCATGAATAAAATTTCTAAGATCCATTCTCTTAATACTTATATTCCCATGGTTATGCCACTATAATGCCATTTGTAAAAATATCTTCCACTTTTCTTTTGTCGGTGGTATTTGACTTTTTACCTCAAATCGATCGAATGATTTCTATATCTTTCTGTATGCGCTGGTTATCAATAATCTTGTCATTTTCATGAATGAATGTTACGATAGGAATAATAGATATTTAGTTTTTGTGAGAAAAAGCCATTAATTTAACTAAGATTTTATAAGAGTGATAAATAATATTCTAAAATTACCTGCAGAATTTCCAAATTTTGTATAGGTAATCAGAAGCTCTAAAAAATAATAATAGTAATTAAGTGGTTTAAATGTTTTATACAATGACTTTAGAATATTATATAATTTTTATTTTAATTTCTTTAAGCTCATGCATGTAAAATTATTATTCAATTATTGACATACTTGTAAATTAATTCCTCCTGTAATGGGATTAAAAATATATAAATGTTTAACATAGTCTTTAAGTATTTTTGAATAGATTGATACATGCTTCTTGGCATTGAAACTTTCTTTGAAGTGTTTAGTTTAATACCCACATTAGCACCAAATGAAATGGGATGTGCATTGATCCACACAGTAAATTTTATGTTTATATTCCCGTAGATGGGGCCAGGCATATATTCCCCAACCACAGTTATGAATGCCTCCATGCCAAACTTTGGCCAGGAGGAATCCATTGATGTAAATTGGTAAAAATACTTACAGTAGAAAAAATACTTAAAAAAAAAATCAATATAGTTAATTCGGCATGCTTGAGTATGCAACCAGATTACTGCCCAGGTCACAATGAATCGCACCAAATACTTATGATCAACTGCTAGCATTTCTGTTCAAAACAAACAAGGAAAAAACAATCAAAGAGGCTCTAAGCAAGATTAGGAGCACAAACATGTGATCCATTTCCACTGAGTAATATACGAATTTGTCTCAAACTTCAAATAGATCACCTATAATATTAAAGATGTGGAAGTCTAGCAAACATACTGACTATTAGATGCAAAGAAGATAATTATAATGTAAAGCCGGGTATGGTATGTTCTCACTACATTAGTGTGAAGAGCCTGGGAGGAACAACGTCGTTACACATATTTACTTAAGTTCAAACTGTGGAAAAGGGAAGAAAGTTAGCTAAAGCCTATTCAATAAAAAAAAAATACAGGACCAACGAGGGCCAAATGAAAATGGTGCTAAGAGATGTACATTCTGATCAGAGAGAGCATACACAGTCATCGAAACATCTCGTATTTGCAGACGTATATGAGCAACTCATCATATCAGAATATACATAAACCTCACAATGAAAGCCAGCAGAAAATCTCATAAAATGCAAACCATTCGACAGAAATCAAGTTGTAACTAAACAGGTAGTAACTAACAAAGAATACACGGCATCAGATAATAAGCGGAGTTGAGATCCACACAATAATTTCGGTGTGTAGGATAAGATTATTTTCATCACTTGCCATAACAGAGAAGTACGCAGAAGATGGATATGACAAAAAGAAACACGCGCTTATGATAGAAAAACAAGGAAAATGTTACACGGCGTAGACCATGCCGCTATTGATAGATAGCTCAAAACCCTAATGGATAGTGTGACGAGGAAGGAGTTGCAATGTTTCATATTTATACCTCCGAACGGTAATAATTTTGCATCTAGAATGTCCGAAACCTATTGCGGGAGTAACGTCTAATAGATGGGCTTGAAAGTCTAATTGCATTTAGTCCAAATAATAATGCCCAATTACGTGGGCTTACCGAGACCCAATCTAGTGCTCTTATGTTGAACGGAACAAAGATTTGGCCCAAAAAATAGTTTTACTATTTTTTCAATCTACTAATTGTTCACGACTAAACTAGCAATAGAGATTGTTAGAAATATATGCATGGCAGGATTCACTGACGAGATATATGCTGATCTAGCATTAGAGACCATAGGGGAGTGCAATGTCGATTTAACTTTTTTCCAAATGAGAATAACAAGAAGCTACGAAATGCTGACGACCTAAAGGGTGGGTGATTCTCAATCGACTTATCAGCTTTCAAAATCACCTTTTGGTTACCGCAAACATAAGGTAGCTTAAGACCGTCACACGGGTCCCTTGTTTATTTTGAAGAGAATCAATCCTCTTCGTATAAATTTTGTTTTTGTCTTGTTGAATTTACATCCTCCTCTTAGTAACACGAACATATCATTGTTGCCGGAAACAAACAAACAAAACAAAATTCCTGCACTAAAATTTGTGTTCTCATTCGGATTTGAACATTTTCATTCCGTATATGGGACTGTTCGGAGAGGTAAAACCAACTCAAGTCGCCAAGTATTTATAATTGACAACAGTCGAGGCAAAACTTTTACCCCGAATGTTGAAATGTTGCCAGTATTTCATTATATTGAATGAAAACATTGGAGGTCACCATTACAAGCTTCCTCCATTTTTGGGACAATGATTTGCGCGCTAATTTTTTGTCTGAAGCAAAAATGACCGATCCTTTTATTCATCTTGTGAAACTGCCATTTTACTACTTGATTCATGTATTACGAAACATCCTAGAAAAAAAAATGTTCAGGTGCAGAATGCCTCTGCAACTGCTATCTCTGCCACTAGATCATCTAGTAACAAGCTCTCAACTTCCCTACCTATTTCATCAATGTCATCTCTTAAGTTCAACCACTGCAATTCGCTAACCAACAGCTTCCCCAGTGCCGTATCCTTTACTTTTCCCTGGCTCCACAGCATCCTGTATAGACAATTTTGGAGTCCATTTTTAATCAATTTAGAATTAGAACAAGGATTTGTGACTCTCGAAGGGATTACCCATGACTGTGCACTGATGAATTGCTCGTATATATTGATAATTCCACAATTTATACGGTCAAAAAGCAATCTCCTTTCGGACCTTGGACAAGTACTCCAATCAGAGTACCTCTTTTCAAGTTCATCAAACACTGAAAGACTAACAGGGCATTCAGGAGAATGCCAAGCTTCCAAAAATGCATCAGGCTGAGCTCTATTAATACGAGATTCGGACAAGACATCAATCATGTAGGAAGACTCCCAGCTTTCTCCTGTCTTACGTAATCCATTGTCTTCAGAAATTCCTGAATATGTTTCGCCACCATCTTCATCACTTTGAATTAGCACGGGTCCTTCCACAAATTCTTCAGATTCTAGCTTCAGCAACTGAAGTTGCATTCGAAGCCCTGAACACAAGAAACGCATATGAAACCATGGAATCAGAAAAGAGGTAAAAGCTTCAAAGAGAAATATGTTAAGGAGGACGCCAATCAATCATTAATCATTTCTTCTGTTAAGCTCAACAAGGTAATTGACAAAAGCTTGAAGGCAAACATCGATGCAAGTATGAAGGACAAATTCATTCATGTAGACCATTTATTATTCCTTACCTATATGACATTTTAATCCACATCATGTAAAACATGAAATAAGGCAATTATGATGTCAGATTAGAGTCTCGCCAAAAATCTATTATTTAATAGCAGCTATCAAGTCAGAATGCGTCAAAACTACCATTAAAACCATCAATTCCAATTTTAATTCACAAAATGATAAATTCATTAAAAATTAAAAGGACACCAATGACATAACATGGGAAAAAAAAAATATAATCACAAAATCTTCTTATTTAATTTTATAAAACATGCCATGCAAAATTATAGGTTCACTGAAATTAGTACGGAATTAGGATATGCATGAAACTGCATTTGGTCTCCACTTTCTCCATTAAGTGCAATGCAAATCACAAAGGCATAGCACCAAAAACATCTTTTCAGTTAATCGTTCAATATCTCAAGGTTCTGTGAGTTAGCATGATCTAAACCTATTTTCTTCTTGATAACATCACGGATAAAGTGCATGTACTACAAAACCATCATATTAACTGCTGTAATTACTATGGAATTATGTGAGGAAATACCTGACAACTAGGATCAAGGGAGTAGAAAGGTATAAATCAGGAACTATACAAAGGATGGAATAAGGAAACTAAACATTGCGCATAGACTGTAATCCACATAAATGTCTGAGGCAGTTACCTTGTATGTCAACACTGAGACTTTCAAAACACTCACAACAAGATGGCAGATCATCAGTAAACGAAGGTTCTAGCACTGAGACTGGACTGGGTTGATCCGCGTCTTTACAGCATGAAGATTCGAGTCCAGATACAGGTGGTTGCAAGGGGACAGAATTTTTACTTGAAGACCCAACTGATGACTCCTGAAATATTTCAACATGTCAAAGTAAGAATAAACATACTCAATGAACTTTCAAAGTTTGTTTAACAATTACTGGCCTAATAAATTGGACTTTTTGAGACTAAAAGAACCACCCCCTCTCACATAAGCCTGTATGTCTTAAAAGTTTAGCCACTTGACTATTACAGCATTTAAACAATTTTGCAAAGACTAATAGTGTCTAAGTAAATTTAGATGTTGTCAAAAACTCTTTGCATTTCATTTAAGCACCAAGAGTGAATGAAGAACAGTGAAAATCTACAGAAAATATATGATTTCATATGAATGGCAGATGGAAGAACTAAGACAAGAGATACGAAAGGAATTTTCCACAAATATAGTGAAGGATTAACCAAACCATATACATTAATGTAAAATAGCTGGCACAAAGCTGTCATTTATTCACTTCCACCGAATTATAAAGACGTCCCATGTGATCTCATTCTGTTTTCAGCTGTGTTCATAGCCAGTTTCATGTCAATTAAAACATGAAGTTTTCAGTTTATGAGAATTTGATAAGAACTTTTGGGAGAACCACACTACAAAAACTAGTTGTTATAGTTGGAGACCCCAAGGCCTTATAAACCCCACACTATTATCCCATACTTCTAAACCTTAAACCCTAAACCATACTTCTAATGTAGGACTCAAGTCCCAAACTTGCAACGGGATCCAAAATTATTTGTCCAATTTTATTATTAATCTGTGACAAGTGAGTTAATTGGTTACTTGATTTAACGTGATACAAAATCAATGTCAACTGAGACGAGCTAGATAAGTGTTTTACTGTTTACTATGAGTTGACCTGTTCAGGAAAATAAATATGATTATGTTAAGGCATTCGTATATGTCAATAAGCATATTATCAGAATACCAATGAAAATGCTAAAAGCTAAAACAGATGCATTAAATTGCCTTTGACGACCACATTAGTGTCACCTTTGAGTAAAATAAAATAATCAAGAAACACCTTAATATAAGATTCAGATGAACCAATTGCATTTTCATCTTCCACGTCCACAGCTTCAGTAACTGCAATAGTTTCTCTGAGGATATCAGATAATGATTCAGAGGCCAACACTTCTTGCTTCGGCAAATCCTCAGCAAGATTAATCTTCAGTTTATTTTGAATTGTATTTAAGTCTGGGGAAGACTCATTGCCTTCTATGTTTGATGGATGAGAACACCAAGACTTATTATGATCAGATTTTGAGTTCCTAGTATTCATACACTGTCTCTGATCAAGACATTTCACTACATTCTTCCTTCCTGGTGTACAGGCTACATTTGGCATCATAAATCGATCATCATGAAGAGCTTCATGGCGCAGAACTGTTCTAGGACTACCAAAGGCAGTAGTATACGAAGCAGGAAGAGACTTAGACCTTGGTAAACTTCCAATACATCCATCCTTCCATCCATCCCTACTGCTAATACCCAATGGTTCAACCCACCCAGCAGGTTTACCATTGCTAGAAAGTTTATCACGTAAACCTTCCCCCCTAGGGATGCTGTCAAAATTAGTTGTTTTCCTTTCCTTGTCAGGGAAAGCGAGCATTTCAGCCAGAGTGCCACTCCTGGAGACAGAACGGCCCTGCTGAGACTTGAGTGACATTTTCCACCTCTCTGATAATCTCTTCTTTGCCTCTTTACTCACAAATGATTCACTAAAACAGGATGATGGGCTGATAGTATTACTTATTTCAACTGACTTTCCCAAAGTTGCAGGTGTCACTTCTGATTCCTCAAGAGATTCATTCCCAGAAAAACTACACGAGCTATCGTCCCAAGTATTTCCTCTAAATCTAGAAGATGAAAATAACATAGAGCCATTACTCAAACTACTTTTCATTTGGCTTGTGATGTCCTTTGCAATTTCTCTAGATTCCAAGGAATTCTTCCTTGAATGCCAGGCATTATCATTGTCCCTAAATCTGCTATCTGAAAATTCAGCACACTTTCCATACTCAAACATACAAGTATGTGAAGAACCAATTTTGCTAGCTTTCTGCATTTTTCCAAGATTAGGTTTCAGGATAACAATCCTTGTTGGGACTGCATCAGGCTCATTTCTTCCCTTAAAATGAGGCTTTGATGATTTTGGTGAACTATGAATGGCCTGTCTTCTGACTAAATGACCATCATGATGCTTCTGATGAGATCTACTGTAATTTAACCCCTTGATCTCGTTATCCGGCTTCTGGCTTACATCACCATGTTGATAGTTCTCTATATCTGATGATTTGGTACCTTCAATGTGACCAAAATGTGATTGGGAAGGGGAACCTTGCTGATCAACTAGATGCCTTTTAAACAGAGAATCTGGCCGCTTAAAGTATTTTTGCAAAAGATCATTGTTATAGTCTAGAATCTCCAGTGTATCATGGGAATCCTGGGAAGACTGTAAATCTTGATACGTTGCACGGAGTTTGGAATCCATGAATTTCTGTTCAACAAATGACGTTTCATCATCAGTGATCTTCAACTTTACAGACCCCTGCGATGCATACCTACAGCTCTTTATGTTTGAGATCTCTGAGACCTCAAACACATCCTTAAAATCTTGTTTATACTTTGAACTTCTCCTAGATGTTCGACTACCATATAATTTACCACTGGTTCGAGTTTTCACCGCCGGGGTTGTTCCTTCTATGTTATGTTCTGACACATGCTTATGATGCTTATTAGCAGGCAATTGCAACGGAATTCCATCAAGACCCATTAATCTGCCTATGACACCGGGAGCTCTTCTTTTGGGTTCAATTTCTCGGGACAATTCTTCAGCTAATAACTTCTTCATGGGGGTTCCACGCGGTTGCTTTGAAGATCTCCACCCCAAGTGAAATAAACCCTACAAAAATCAATGCATTTTCTCACGATAGTCAGTTTCTCTGATTCTTCTTTACTAGGAACCCCGCCCCCACCCACACATAACGTGTACGTCATGCAATGTGATATTGTGAACATAATACGTTCAATTAAGAAAGCATGGCTCCTGATTCGCAAATAGCCCCAAGTAAATCGCGACCAAGCGCCTAGAGATGAAAACAGTAAAAAAAAAAAAAAAAAAAACTCACTGAATCTTCATCTGCAAGGCCATCACTGGACGAACCAGAAGCAGAGTCAGAAGGAAAACTCTGAAGTTTTCTATGTGTATGAACCTGCTTGCTTCCTGAAAACGAATTAAACAACAAAATTAGGATGAAATATTCAAGAGCGTGTACAAGGGTTTAATTAAGAAGTGATTACTAAAATTCTTCAAAAATACTAAAAAGAGGCACACACTACTTGTCACAAGCTATGGTAAAAGTAGTAATTGAAAAAGTAGAGAAGAAACTCCTCACGCTCAATCATGCATGAGATAAAGAGAAGGACAGGAAACGCTAAAGAAATGATCGAAGGCGAAGCAGCTTAAATCACAAGACATCACAACACAATAAATTCATGACGAAAACAAAACAGCATTATTACACCTATAGCACCAAGCAAAAGCTAAAAAGCAGTTCAAAAGCGCATATACAAAAAATCAAAACAAGAGAGTTAAGCAGGGACTTGACTTGATCCACCACCTTTAGGTCTCTGCATTTGAAATCGGTTCAAGATAGCCGGAGAGAGAATGTGTTTGGAGAGCGCGATGTAAGATGTGGTGAAGGAAACGTGAAATGAAAGAAATAGTTTGAGAAATGAGAATAATATGGGGAAGGCTCAAAGAGGATGCGAAAACCCTAAGATGTTTATATTCACGAAACCAAAATGGAACAAATGAAGCAAGAGCAGAGTAGAAAGTAGAAGGAAAAAAAAAAACTGAAAATGCAGAGATCTTGAATCGTGCGAGGTGATAGATTTTAGTTAATAAGCCAAAACTGAAACTGTGTGAGATACAACGTGAAGAGTGTGAGAGAGAGAGAGGTGTTAATTTTTTTGAAGTTTCAATTCAAATACCGATACTGACACGCGGGGAACTAGTTAGAGTATAGTCGGAGTGTGATGCTCCGTCCATGCTACACAACACGTGGTCACTTGTTGTTGCACCACGTCGTTCCCAGAGCCTTCAAATGAGGCACTGCACACTTCAATTAATGCTTGTTTTTTTGTGTTTGATCAATTTTAGATGAATTCAACAGTGCCCAACTCTATGGAATATACAGAAATAGTAAGTGGTGCAGCAATGTCCATCTTATTTTAGATGAATTTAAGAGTGCCCAACTCAATAGATTTCAAACCATTGCGCTTATAGTCACGGATCTGGTGCCAAAATGTCATGGATTTTGTTTTATTGTGCTGCGTTTTGTGAATTTTACGTGCTTTTTGTTTTTGTTTTTTATTAGTTCGCGGTGTCATATTAAATTTTCTCACTCCGATGTTTGACCTGAAATTAAAAAAGAAGGTACATACGACCCCAAGGTCTCGTATGGTGATGTGCCCTACAAAGCAAACTATAATAATTGTAAAGTTTATTAAGACATAGACACGCGATTTTACTTGATAATAGGGCAACTCATGAGGGACATTGCCTCTCCACAATGTCATTGACGGTCAAACATGCATAAATTTCTCAATTCAAATGCCATTATTTACTTACCATATTGTAAAGATAAGATTTATGTGCAAGAATCTTTGGCTTATGAGTGCCATTGACACTGGTGTGTGTAATGTTGGAAGGAGAAGAAACTTGTAGCAGATAGGGAGCATCGATAGACGTAATGATCGATGGATATTTATTTGAATTGTACAGCGACAAGTCAAAAAGACAAACAAGTGCATGCTTCTACACCTTTATTCTTTTACTTTTCTTTTTTTTTTTTCTCTCTTCATTTAGTTTACTTTTTAAGAGTGATTGGGTTGTCGGTAAAATATTGTGATCACATCATTACGAGAAAAACATGAACCAAATCAAGCAGAAACAAAAAAACCATTTTTGTGTTATTTTTTTAATATGTTTTGATGTGAAAATATGTAAACACATGTCTTCAACTAGTTAAGTAGTCAATAGATTAATTACTGCGGAAACTTTTCTATATATTGAACTAATAATTTGTAAAATTAAGAAAAATGCAATTTTTTAACCAATGCAAACTCTTGACTTGCTAAAGGGGCAAGAATAATTAGACAACATATGAGGAAAACTAAAAGAAAATGTAGTAATTATTAGACAAATATCACAAGGACAAGATGCAAACAAAGTAGTGGTTAGCAGACTATCGGATATGCCAACTTGGCTTAAGGCCGAAGTCTACTTCTCACAAAGACACAGATTTTAATGTAAAATTTTATTCGACATTAATTCCAATATATAATTTAATCAAAATTAATGCTTCAAATATATGTTGTTATATTAAATATATAACTGAAAAATCATTTAAACATAATGGCTTTCATCTTTAATCATTTAAAATAATTTTTTTCAAAAATATGTTGTCCTTCGTCTAAAAATAATTATTTAAAATGCGCGTTGCTTGGTGCATTTCATATTTGATGGTTTCAGTGCCGTCCCTTTGGATCCAAGGGAAAAGACGGGATAACAAAAAGATGATTGTTTGTCCCCAAGGCCTCGAGATTAAAGTTTTGTGCCATTGCAATGATTCCGGTACTTCTATAACCAAATGATTTTCGTTGTAGCATAGAAAGTCTAAAACCACCCATAAGTTCGTAAATCAAAACTGTTGTTTACTGTATGCTTAGGATAATTTCTCCTATATACAAAGACACGTCTTGTAGTACGAGGGTTTAGATCTTAAATCACCCATCACAATGTCTCTATGTTCCTATGTTTGTTTTTCTTTAATAATGTGAGATTTATTATACAAAAAAAAAAACGTCAACAACATATCTAACGTGGTATATGTATAAGGAATTTCAATAAATTATTTTCTAACAAGAATGTTTTAAAACCTAGCAAAGCTTAAAGCAACTTGGTTAACTAAAGTTATGTAGGACCAAACAATTATGAGATTTGAATAGGTAAGGAACTTTTGACGACATATGATCTAAATCGGTAGGTAGTGCAATTAAACTTGGACGTTTGCCCATGAGTCATGACACGGAATCAGCAATATTACAAACTTTATTTATGGGAAACCTTAGATCATGATAGACATTTGAGCTGGGTCAGTTAGGAGGGCACCACGGGTATCTCTTAATCAGCTCCATAAAACATAAAATCCTTTTTGTTAAGAAAAAATGTGAAAGAAAAATATAATCTGACGACGTAGACTTTAATCACAAAAATCGGTTATTTAACTAAATTTTAGAAACTAGAAGGTCAATGTGAAGAAATCACACAAGAGTTTGGCACGTGACGGGCATACAAGACATGAACTCAAAGACCTGTAGATGTTACAAATTTTGAAATGTAACTTTGTGAGATGCACATTAATTAAGATCCAGTTGCATACGCGAGACAAACTTAGTAGAAAGTATACGTGAAGCTGCAATTGCATATTATATTATATCTCTATGGGAAGTGTGCTGGGTTTGTTTGATGTCTATTTGCAGAGGCAACTTTATCTCCTTTCTCTCTCTCTCTCTCTCTCTTTATCATCCTTTAGGACCATTACTTTTATCTGCTGTCAGTGACTTTGCTATTGTCTTCCCAGTATTGCCAGCTGTTCATATAAACATTCTACAAAGGGTAGGAGGTAAAAGTACTGCAAATTCAAATCATTGCATATGCAAGAAAATGCCCTACTCAACCATCAGAATGGTATGAAGAGCAATAATTTGCAAGAGTAACATCATTCCAATTGATTTCAACTTTGAACTGCAGTTTTACACTAAAACTCAGCAAGATGCAATTACAATTCTGTGGAAGTAGGTTCATAAATAATGAACACAACAAACCGTTTGTGTAGATCTGTGTGTAGGGTGCTACTGTATTTTTTACCTTTTATTTATTAAATAATAACAACATCAAGAATGACATGTTTAAAAAGCTTCATTATGGAGTATGATTTCTACTAAATTTAAGAAAAAAACAGAAACAAACATATTCTACGCTCGGACTTTTAAATCCAAGCTCTCTAATGGAGGATATTTTTATTTTGGCAAATGAGGAGTTGTTAAAAGTATTTTATTTTCAAAGCAGAGTGACTATTATTTATTGTTTTCTAAAAATGAAACAAACATACTCTACATCTCATAATCTGGGGGAATAATTTCTGGCGTCCCATGGTGCAATTGGCGTTAATGTTTTGCGGCAAACTGGAACCAATGTTGTTAGCCGGTGTAGATTTTAAATACAGGTAAGGGTAAGCCAAAAGCGAGGCAGTTTGCATCAATTTCTCCCGCTATTTTTCTTTTGCGTAATTTATATGTATGCTAAATTTCACATCATATAAATGTAGACATATAATCTATCTATATCCAAATTAAATCTACTTTAAATTATTTCCATTTTTCACATACCAAACATAATCATAAGACTTCCATTTTCACATATGAAACATAAATATAAGACTAAAAAACTGAAATCAAACATACATAATTAATATGATTTTTTAAAACCTTTTACAAAACAAATTATTTAAATTATTTTTGTTAACGAAATTATTCGAAACACAACCAATAAATTGTATTACGGCTATAGTTCAATCAGGGTTTAATTCTCTACATCCCTTGACCAATTAGACGCGGAATGTTAAAAATAGAGTGGAAAAAACTTAATCACAAAAGAACAAGATGTCTTCCATGAAATTAATTTTCATAACATTACACTTATTTAAATGCAGGCTATTGTTATTTTACATTCCCATTTTATTTCACCTTTTTCTTTTCCTAAATAAATAATCATTGCCTTTTTCACTCTTGTAATCTTTTATTCATTTTTCTTCAGGTTAAAAATACACATATGTAGTCTTTGCTGCCTCTAGCAGCACACTTATAATATATAAAGCAAGAATCTTTTGAAAAACAATGGTCATTCAATTTATGAACCGCAGTTCATCAAACTCAAGACCCTCTGAATACTTAGTGAACTTCTTTAATCTTTTTATGTAATGGGTCCGATGTACCAAAAGTGTTTGATCGAGCTTAGGCATGTATGCTTTTCTTTTAAAATTAGTTTAGAATTTGTTTGAATTATTTTTTTGCCTTTTTTATCATTTTGTCATGGCTTCTATCTTTGACCGAGAGAAATCTCGCTCACTCTGTTCCAAAATTTAATCAAAATTTCAAAGATTTCTTGTTGACCCCTGCAACTTCCACTAGCATGAGCACCTGATCTTTAAAGCAATGTTGTGATGAGGCGCTCTTAAACTGCTCTTTCTCATCGTACCGCAACCCTAATGGATAAGGGTTGTTAAAAGGCGTAATATTGAACCAAATTTTATGCACAATGAAAACAAAACAAGTCAGAGTCACGTACAGACAAAGCATGGATGCCTCTGGAAACAACTCCTCTAATTGAACAGATGCAGAGAGGAACAGAATGAGTCAGCAGACAATAGTGCTTGTAATGGTAATCTAATGTCTATCACGCTCAGGTAATGTTGAAAAGCATTTATTTTTGACAATGAAATGTCCCATGGTAAACTAAACATTAACAACTCACCACCACAAGTAGCAAACTAATACCAATGAAAAAACAAGGATATCAGAAAGAATAATCCATGTTTTACCCAAAAGATGTTAATGTTGCATAAACTTATACTCACCTTGTAAATACTCTCATTCAAACCACTTGGTTCCACTAAAACCTTTTTTATTAGTCCAGATATGTATAGTCCCGTGTACGATTTGGTATAAAAGGCCATTGTTAGACGATGGGGCCTAACTCAATTTACACAGGACCTGGAAGACTCATCCCTCATACTTCGATCAAGAACAGGTATAATAAAACCCGGGCCAAAAGACCCAAGGTACAGACACAAGCAAAATCATGCACAAGCAGGCTAACATGCAAATAACAATAGATTAAACCAAGTTTAAATACAATAATTCGGTGAAAGTTGAAATCAACTTATACTTTCAATCGTAGTTGTGAAACTGATGGCTATGACCCTGGATATTATGCAACAATTGTTAATAAACACCTTAAGTTAACCACATTAATATTCACTTTAATTGTTTATCTCTTTTTTCCCTCCCTTTTCAAGGAGAGTGAATGTTTGCACAGTCCATTCAACCTGAGTTTACCGAAGTGCTAATCATGAAATTTAGAAAATTACTGAATATATTACTTTCAGAACTATTTCTCTGCCCCAACCCCCAAAATAATAATAATAATAATAACCCAATCATCTGAAAGTAAATGAAAACTGTTGTCATCTCCTCTAGAGATCACCAAATCCATCACAACTGCCAACCTTTTACCGACACTAGTAACTTCAGTGGGAGATAATTAATCTTTGCTGACTGAAATACCAAGAAGATCGCTAAAAATCGGAAAAGGTAGAATCAAAATAGGATAGTTTTGTAAATATCAATGAAGGTGCCATGTCAAATATATTATTAGAAAAAAATTGGATTAACTGTGAACAAACATGAATCCATCCCTACTAACTAAACAAATCTCAGTTGGCTACACTCACATTTAGGTGACATCAACTAAACAAGAATTGCTGACTTCATTTGGTCATTTTCTGACGAGTATAACATCTAAAACTCATAACACATACAAAACAATCCCCTAAATTTTTTGCAGATATTTTCACTTGAAAATAAACATTATCTGAGTATAGTCTGAAGAAAAAGTAAATTGGCCATACTCCAAAATACTAGGAGCGGTATCAAATATTAACCACAGCAATCCATACCCTTTTTACACCTATGAATTTGCATAAGACTAATTTAGAACTATCCATCGAAAGACACATTCAAATCCCCCATGCATAACTTAGCTACCAAAATCAAACTAGAATGAACATAGTTCCATATCAAATAACATTTTGCAACAACAATAAAACGGTATTGCTAACTATTAACTACTACAAAGGTTTCTTTAGCTCTAAATATGTTATTTTGTTGTCCAAATACTACCCGCAATGTACAGAAGATATTTACTTTCTCTCAACTACAGTACTATTTTCAATACGTACATTGTTGCTCGGAAAGTGCTCTCCATTTCGTAATATTATTATTCGTTATGATCACCCTATATTACTGTGACCGCTAAGGTAACCTATCCTCTGTCTAAATTCTTCAACCCTATATTACTTTCCCAAAACATGGGAAGATACACAGCATAAAAAACTAAATGAGGCTGCAATTCAAATAAAATATAAAGTTATAAAAAATAAAATCAATGCATCAATTTGATACGCCACCATAAAAATAACCTATCTTCATTAACCCTACTATTTATATCCACCACATACCTAGCCAGCAGTAATTCAGAATGACCATTACGAAAGAAAACTAAAACTATTAAACTAACCAGTAATCACCTATGGCAACATCAGAATTACCATATGACAACAATATAAGCAAAAAATAACAAGAAAAGGGACAAAACAAAAATTCATAACCTTCCTCAGCCCCTAGCACCTGCTCCCTCCCTTTCCAATTTCTGCGAGAAGAACTTGGTCGCGAACATGTTGTCCTCGAAATACTCCTTGTAAGGATGGTCCTTAGGAACAAGCCTGCGAAACTTATCAAATTGCTTATCAGCTTCGTCTTTCTTCTTTAAGAGGGTATATATAATACCTTGACACAAATAAGGCCTGAAGTCCCTGGGCTCTTCCTTCACCAAATCCTGATAAGCCTTAAGTGCCTCAGGAAAATCCCCTTCCATCACTTTAATCTGCGCAATCAAGAGCTTGAAGTCTCTCACATCCGAATCCCTATTCTGCTTCTTACACGCCTCAGTCGCCTCCTCCACTCTCTTCAACAACGCTCTCAACGGCTCGTTCAATTGCGCAGTCGCCATGACGATGCCGTGGAACGCCTCCACGCGGAGCGGGTCCTTCTTCAAGATTTCTTCGAACAGTTCACGCGCAGCGGCGTGGTCGTCATTGTAGATGAGCATGTTAGCCTTTAGCAGCGGCCACTCGTACTCCTCCGGTTGTAGCTCGATCAGACGGTCCAGAACGTCGAACGCTTCGTCAATCTTGCGCGCTTTGATCTTACATTCCATGAGCGCGCGAAGCGCGTCGGAATCAGCGGGGTTGGCGCTTAGCCGCTCCTCCAGAACTCTCTTGGCTTCCTCCTCGGTGAGGGTGGGCTCAGTGTCGGCGGTGGGCGGGGAGAGCGTGGCGGCGAAAGCAGGCGTGTGGTGGAAGCGCATGAAGAAGAAGGCAGCGGCGGCGACGACGATGCAAGTGGTTTGGGCCAGGGGGGCGAGGAAGGAGTTTAGGGTTTGGAGAAGCGGGGTTAGAGAGGAAGCGTTTTTTGAGGGGTGGTTTGAGGAGCGTGAAGAGCAGGCTCTGATGGAAGGTAACCTAAACGACGATGACGAAGGAAAGTGCTGTGGTGGTCGAGAGCGGAAAGAGAGAGAAGATGATAAGGGCGTGGGAAATGGAGAAATGTTGAGAGTGGAATTAGAGTGGCGTAATTTTGGGAGCGAATCCATTGGTAAAACCCTAGTTGGAGATGTAAGACTGAACATTGGTACTTGTAAAAAGAAGAAGAAGAAGCTAAAACCCTTATTTGGATCAAATGCACTCGAAGGTATCACTTACATGTTGGAACCCAGTCTTTTGCAAGTCAAATATAGTGCCAGAGGATCACGTGTTAATTTGAATTATAAATCAACCAAGTAACGATGGCATAGAATAAATTATTTTAAAGTAATAAAAGTTTTATTTCAATCAAATTACAGGTAAGTTTTAAGCAGCGCTTAGTTTTAATATTATTTACCAATATAATTATTATTCCAGTGAACTCAGAGTTTAAACCTCTTCGTATTTTTTATAGTATTAATTTTTTAAAAATAATTATTTTTTTAATATTATTTATTTTTAATATATTTTTTTCAGATATATTGTATTTTTTATTTTATTCATATTTTTTCCTTTCTTCACTATTTTAAATACATAATAATATAATAATATTTTATATTTTATTTCTGTCATTTTTATCACTAATAACATATATGATAAAAATAATTATCAATAATGACACTAAAATGGTAAAAATAAATTCATATTAAAATTCTTAAACATAAAAAATGTATTCAAAAATATTAGAAAAATAAAAAATAGTACTTGTAAAAGTTTTTCAAAAAAATTCTTCTAATAATAAAAATGTGAGATATATAAAATGTAAATATGAAAAAATTACAATAAAACAACACACATTTTAAGATTTTTTTCTGAAACATATAACTATGAAAATAAAATTTTTAACTTGTGAGAAAATGAATAAAAAAACTAAAAAAAATAAAAACTAGCTTAAAAGAATCAAATTTAAAAAAATCTTTCAATAATAATAGTGTGAGATACTTAAAATATAAATGTTTAATAAATATGAAAATGGTAAAAGAAAACAATATAAAAAATTATAAAATTTTTAAACAAATAAAACTATAAAAACTAAAATATTAAAATATAAAGAATATGACTCAAAAATATTAAAAAAATAACTTTAAATAGTGTTGAATTTAAATAAAAAATTGGCACAAAAATGAAAATTAGATATATAAGATGAAAATGTATCATAAATCTAAAAATGGTTAAAAAAAACAAAAACAAAAATTAGAATTTTTTTACAAATGTAATTAAGAAAATTAAATTAAAAAAAATTAAGAAATAACTAAAAAATAAAAAATTAGTATGAAATAGTAAAATTTTGAGAAAAAATGTTCTCCAATAATAAAAGTGAGATATATAAGATGTAAAAGTATCTTGAAATAAAAATGGTAAAAAAAACATTTTAAAATTTTGTTGATATGTATAGCTATAAAAACTAAATTGTTAATGCGTGAGAAAATAACTTAAGAATACTAGATAAATAAAAAAATAATATGAAATTATGGAATTTTAGAAAAAAAGTTTACCCAATAATGAAAGTTTTAGACATGTAAAATATAAATGTACGATAAATATGAAAAAGGTTGAATATAATTATGGAAACTAAAATTATAAATTATAATAATATTACTAAAAAAAAAACTAGCTTGGAATTAAAGAAAAAACTTAATCAACAAGGAAAGTATGAGATATGTAAAATGTAAATGTTTGATAATATATGGAAATAATAAAATTAAATTGTAGAATTTTTGGATAGATGTAACTATAAAAACTAAATTCCTAAAATATAAAAATATAACTCAGAAATACTAGAAAAAACAAACTAACTTGAAAAAAAAATTTCCCAATAATGAAAATCAGGGATATGTAAAATAAAAAGAGATTTTAAATTTAAAAATGATAAAAGAATATAAAAAAATTTAGGTACAAGTTTGAAAACTAAATTCTTAAAATGTAAGAAAATGATTCAAAAATACTAAAAAAATAAAAAAACTAGTGTGAAATAGTGAATTAAAAAAAATCACCGATAATGAAAATGTGGGATACGATGTAAATGTATGATAAATATTAAATTGGTAAAAAATACAAAAACTTTTAAAATTTTCTGGCAGTTGTAATACTAAAACCTAAATTACTAAGAAGTAAGAAAATTAAAAATACTAAAAAAAAATATGAAAAGATAACATAAATCTAAAAATGATAAAAGAAAATAACAAAAAAAAATAGAATTTTTGAACAAGTGTAACTATGAAAATTAAATTCCTAAATTGTAAAAAATCACTCAAAAATACTAAAAAACAAACTTAAAACAATGGAATTTAAAACAAAATTTTCCCCATAACGAAAGGATCTATAAGATGTAAAAGTATAATAAATGTGAAAATGGTAAAAAAAAAACACAAAAAGTTTTCAAATATTTTAACAAATGTAACTATGAAAATTAATTTATTAAAATGTAAGAAATTACTTAAAAATACTAGAAAAATACAAAACTATTATGAAATTATGAAATTTTTAGAAAAAGGTTTGCCCAATAATGAAAGTGTGAGATACGTACAATGTAAAGATATGAAAAAGATACACTATAATAACACGAAAATTTAAATAATTTCCTAACCTATTTAACTATGGAAATTAAATTCTTAAATTGTAACGAAATGACTTTAAAATACTAGAAAAATAAAAACTAGTATAAAATAATAGAATTTTGAAAAAAAAAAGTTTCTCAATAATAAAAGTGTGGGATATGTAAGATGTAAATATATGATATATATAAATATGATAAAAAAAATAACACAAAAAGTTTTAAATGTTGTAACTATGAAATATAAATTTGTAAGATGTAAGAAAATTAATAAAAAATATTAGAAAAATAAAAAACTATTATGAAACTATAGACTTTTTTATAAAAAGGTTCCCCAATAATTAAATTGTAAAATATATAAAATGTAAAGATATGATAAATATGACAAAAGGTACAATAAATTAACACAATTCTTTTAGAATTTTTTGATAAGTGTAAATAAGAAAGATAATTTCCTAAATTTTTAGAAAAATGACTCAAAAATACTAGAAAAATAATAGAGTAGCTAGAAAAAGTAAAATTTAAATAAAAAGTTTTCCTATTAATGAAAGTGTGGGATATATAATATCTAAAGGTATGATAAATATGAAAATGGTAAAACAAAACAACATTAAAAATATTTTTTTACAGGTGAAACTATGAAAATGAAATCCCTAAAATATAACAATATAACTCAAAAATACTAGAAAAACAAGAACTAACTTGAAATTGTGAAATTTTGAAAGAAAATTCCCCCCAATAATGAAATTATGGGATATATAAAATGAAAAGGTATCATAAATATGAAAATATTAAAAGAAAAGAACAACAAAATTTAGAATTTTTTACAGGTGTAAATATAAAAATCAAATTTCTAAAATGTAAGAAGATGACTCAAAAATATTAGAAAAATAAAAAAATTAGCATGAAAACGTGGAAAAATCTCTAATAATTAAAGTGTGGGATATGTAAAATGTAAAGACACAACATTGAAAATAGTAAAAAAAAATGACACAATTTTTAAAATTTTTTTTGAGGTGTAACTACGAAAACAAAAATGTTAAAATATAAGAAAATTATTCAAAAATACTAGAAAAATAAAAAACTAATATAAAATTGTGGAATTTTCATAAAAAGGTTCCCTCAAGAAAGAAAGTGTGAGATATGTAAAATGTAAATGTATAATAAATATGAAAAAGGTATAATAAAAAACACTTTTTTTTTAGAATTTTCTTATAGGTATAATTATAAGAACTAAATTCGTTTGTAAAAAATGACTAAAAAAATACTAGAAAACTAAAAAACTAGCTAGAAATAGTAGAATTAAAAAAAAAAAACAAGCCTAATAATGAATGTATAAGACATGTAAGATGTAAAATCAAGATAAATATGAAAATGATAAAAGTAAAAACAAAAAAAAAAAGTTTTGAAATTTTGTGACAAGTATAACTATGAAAACTAAATTGTTAAGATGTAAATTTTTTATTAAAAATACTAGAAAAATAAAAAAACTATTATGAAAAGAAATTGATGTATAAACGGTTACTTTCCCTTGTAAACATGTTTAAAGTTTTTGGAAATGAAAGAATAATTTATTTTCTTTGTTGCCATTATTATATTAAAACAAAGAAAACATGTTTAAAATTACTATAACATGTTTAATTTCAACAAATGAATGTTATGTTTAAAGTTTGGGTTAATTTTCCTGCAGAATAACTTAATAAGAATAACACACCACATGCAAATAATAAATCATTGTTGCCATAAAAAATAAAACCATACGGACATCAAAACCCTATTAGTAAACTGTGGAATACTAAACACTACCGCATCATTCTCCTCAATGGTAGTAAACCATTTAAAGTTTAAGCATCACATCCACAACTTCAATCTTGGTGGGGATAGATTGTGGTGTTGGACTCACACTCACTGATATTGCTAAAGACCTTGTGGATACCTATCCACTAACTTGTGCACTCGTAGTTAGGAGAGAAGTTGTGAGCTCTATATGAAGTTGCCACCTTTACTAGTTTTGTCTTATTTAACTTTTACTCTGTCACTTTAAACTTCTTAATGACATCATAGATTTAATTTTTTATGAGATAAATTTTAGGATTTATCTATGTTATTGCTTTGAGTTTGACTCATACATGTGGCAACTGGTTCGAACTCACAAAGGGATGGATAACAAAACTATAAAAACATATATCAAAGGGAAGATAATGAAGGGAGGAAAGGGCTTTCTGTGATCGGGTTTGCAAAATAGCTTATGGGGTAGGGTTCATGTGTAAAAATGTTGTTTGAATGGCCTTGCTAAAACATGGGGAAAGTACATACACACTCACCTTGAATAATATATGACATAATACATGTAAACTTATCAAACTACAACTTTGATAGGGTAAATTCTTGCTCTCTTTCACTTTCAATACTTGCTCACTTTACAAATACTAGGTCTAACATAAACTCTCCCACCACACCTAAACTTTTGAACTATAATATTGTTAATAACTAAATTAGGAATCTATTCTTTGCACTCTAGTTTCTTTTACAATGTGAGCACAAAAAAAATTG